AACACTGAAAATGTAATATTTATATGCTATTTCTTTGATAGTAAGGTACATCTATTTCTAGACCAAAATCTCATTTCTATTTAATGAATCAAGCCTATTGCCAGAAGACAGAATATAAAATAGTTATATGGCAAGCCTATTGCCAGAAGACAGAATATAAAATAGTTATATGGGAAAATGCTGTTCATGCAACAAGTTGAAATGCAGGTATGATTCATCTTATTTTCTATTCATAGAAAAAAACATTTTAATAAATGAAAATTTGGTATGAATTTTCATGTTAAAATTTACATGTAATAGAAATGTAGATTCTCCTGTTTACAAAGTTTAAAACACCAGGAAAATTGCTTCCTACACTTTGCAGGAAATCAAGTCCTTTACATACACAGTGTGGGTCTTCCATTGTTACAGTTTAAGAATGCCTAAGTCCATTCATCTTTGTATATTTCAAGATGATATAATATTGAAAAGTGATAGGAAATTCACAGAAAGTCACTTGAAGAACAAAATTACTTTCTTTGCTTGTCTTCTAACATGATAAATCTAAACAGGAAATAAATTTTCTTTTAGTTCACACAGTGAAAATTGTCTGTTTGGACTGAGGTGTTTTGCACCACCTACCCCATTATACCTAAAGAAATCACTACTCCTTAAGAACCAAATACAGAAACAATGATCCAGCATCTATATAGAATTTTTTTCATGTAGAATGCACAAATCATAACCAAAATGGAGAGAATGTCATCAGATTTGAATGTACAGAAGATTCAGTTTAAGAACATGACTGAAGTCACCATGTTTATACTGCTAGGCTTCACAGATGATTTTGAAGTGCAAGTCTTCTTATTTTTACTTTTTTCTGCCATCTATATTTTCACTCTGGTGGGAAACTTGGGACTTGTTGTGTTAGTTGTTGGAGATTCCCGACTCCACAACCCCATGTACTACTTTCTGAGTGTTTTGTCCTTCTTGGATGCCTGCTATACAACAGTTGTCACTCCCAAAATGTTGGTCAATTTCCTGAAAGAAAATAAATCCATTTCCTTTTTTGGATGTGCAGTACAGATGCTGCTCTTTGTTACTTTAGGGACCACAGAATGCTTTCTGCTGGCTGCAATGGCTTATGACCGCTACGTAGCCATCTACAACCCACTTCTGTACACAGTGAGCATGTCTCCCAGAGTCTACGTGACACTCATCATGGCATCCTACACTGGTGGAATTCTGCATGGTACTGTGCACACAGTGGCCACTTTCAGCCTGTCCTTCTGTGACTCCAATGAAATCAGACATGTCTTCTGTGACATTCCTGCATTGCTTGCTCTTTCTTGTTCTGATACGCACACAAATGAGCTTCTGATCTTGTACTTGGTGGGTTTGATTGAGATCATCACCATACTGATTGTTCTAGTCTCCTATGGTTTCATCCTATTTGCTATTTTGAATATGCGCTCTGCTGAAGGGAGGAGGAAAGTCTTCTCTACCTGTGGCTCTCACCTCACTGGAGTGTCCATTTATCATGGGACAATCCTCTTCAGTTATATGAGACCAAGTTCCAGTTATGCTTCAAAACACGACATGGTTGTGTCAATATTCTACACCATTGTGATTCCCATGCTGAATCCCATCATCTACAGTCTGAGGAACAAAGATGTGAAAGAGGCAATGAAAAAACTATTGAGAGAATGTGGTTCATAATTAACATATCTTCAAAGTTTAATGAAGCTGAATTCTGGATGTCAATCCCAACTATGAATGACAAGTGTGTCATGATTTAGTTAATAATGCAGTATATATTACAGATTATTTTAAAATCAGTAATTATCTTTCTCATGCACCATTTTTGAAATTTGATAAACTTTTCACTATACACAAATTACACTGATAAAATTCATATTTTCCTTGATATAGGTATTATCATTGATCATAATTATAGGATTGATTTTTTGTTTGCCCTAAATACCAGCCATGTTCTCAGGACTCTGAGATTAAAAGATTTTCATATTACCTTTGGTAAACCATTAGCATTCATAAAGAACTGATTCCCCATCCCAGATTCCTTATGAGGGTACCCCTAATCCTATTTTTTCCCATAAACATGTTCCCACAAAATTGTATCCATCCAAGCTCTGAGCATGCCACATTTGTATTACTTGTTTATATGTGATTTCTCCCACTTTTGGGAGGGAATGCCTTAAGGGAAAGGGGAATAGCAGAATATAGGTAAAATAATCAAAGAAAGAAGAAATATTGGAATTGGGTGGTTTAAGAAAGATAGGTGTAAAGAAGTGGTAAAGAAGACAGGGGACAGGACAGAGGCTTAATCTCAATAAAATGTGTTTTCAAATCCAAATAGAAATGTACTAGTTGTGATTCAACTGAAAAATGTAAGCTAACAAAAAACAATTGAAATATAGATTCCCTGCATGGCTGGATGATGATTTTCCTAGAAGTTTAGATTATTAAACAAAAACCTCAGTTTCAGGTATAAGATTCCCCCATATGAGTTATTGTCCAGGGAGGCCTCAGTGGGTCCCCAAACAGTACAACCTATTGCTATTCCTCTTGAATACCTTCTATAATTAGATAATAAGATGCCGTTGCTGATGGCATGGTATACCATGGTGACAGGATACAGAATAAAATCAAGCTACAGGCAAGCTGGAAGCTTCCTCCCTGAAAGTTAACCATCAAGAAAGGTTCTATGCAGGCTTCTGGAATAGGAAAGTTGTCAAAGTATCAAAAGTCTTTAGCCAGCTGTGAATTCTACAAATTATAGTATCAATCTGCAAGGCAAGATGTGCCCATTGGTGTCATGACTGTTAAAGAATTAACTGCTCTTTAATTAGATTTGAGGCCTGGTGCACAGGAAGGTACCCATGTACAGTATTTTAACCCTGACCCAAAACATATAACAGGAGAAGTCATATGATAGTGAGGAGCTTACTGCTGCAGTTTAAATACATTAACATAGTGTCAAATTTCATTCTAATTTATGTTTGTATTCACAACTGCCAGTCTCAGTCTTAAAGAGAGAAGCTTCTTTCTGCAGTGAATGGCTAAGAACAAGTGATGTTTGCATGTTTCTCCCTAAACAAGATGTTTATATCACCCTCTCTAAGGCTCTGGGAAGACTGCTGAAGAGTAGGTGGAAAAAAAATGTAAGAAGGAAGATAGTGAGTCGGCCTGTGAAATGTCATGTTCTGGACATAGTAGTCATTGCAATCACAAACTCACAGTGCTGTAGTTATGTGCTCATGGTCTGCACAAGACAAGTCCTGTCAATTATCAGTTTTGGATGAAGGGGGAACTCATCAGATCTTACTGAGCTAAGTTTTTCTGAAAGATTCTGGGAAAGAGAAAGTAATCGTCTTTATTTGTATAACCATCGGTGAGCCCACCAAGACATAATGGAGAGTTCCAAACCTCTGGTCACACAGATTGCTTTTCTTATGGTCAGTGGGTCATGAAAACCTGAAAAAAATGAATGAATAAAAAAGGGATTTGTAAGGAGGGGGTGACATGGTGGGAACTGAGAGAAATTAGAATATGTATTATACATGTATTCAAATGTTGAAGAGCAAATTTGATTAAAGAGAAAAGTAAAAAAAAACTTGTTCAGAAAGATACAACACTGAATACCCTGTAATCATCACTGTCCCTTATTAAAATCAAGCTATTGAGAAATATGACATCTTAAACTTGTTTTTATACTTTCTTTTGAGAATAGTTATCTGCAGGAATGGACTATATATTTCAAAAACAATTGCCTGAATATCCAATTCTAAACTAACCAATAGATGCTGAAAATATTTCAGAATCTTTGTATCTTCTCAGATCCACCAAACTTCGCTACCTCCCCACCACAATTTCATGTTCTCTCTCTTTTATTAACTCATTGACTTCTAGCTTTTTATTTTGATGGTCTTTCCATTTGATAAAAAATCATCATCCTTTGGACTAAGGAGATGATTCACTGGGTAGGAGCACTTGCTGAATAAGCATGGAGATGTGAATTCAAAATACCCTAGATATATTAAAATTTTTTACATGTGTTTGCCTATACCTGAAACCTGATATAGTGAGAAGGAGAGAGAAGAATTGGTGGGGCTTCAGCTTTACTTCAGCTTCACTGGAAACTGCTGCCTCCAGGTTGAGGAAGAGTCTTTGACATGACAGAATAAAGGAAAAAGTGATAAAGGACATTTTCCTTTGAATTCTACAAACATGTACACATGTGTGCACAACCCATATACATATATCCCCACACAAACAAAGACACACACATACACACACACACACACACACACACACGCACAAAGGCCATTCCTTGAGAAAGAATATGGTGAGCATTAGGTCAATATTTCATTAACATATGCCTAAGAACACTTGACTTAATGCATTTATGCATGTATCAATAATTGATATCAAGTTACCTTTTGTGATTGGAGAACTATCTACCATTTATTCCTACTAAATCATAAGTAAATTGTAAACCAATGATGAGAATAAGCATCATCTTATTACTGAATATGCCAATATGCAAGAATGGTGCATTTGACTTTCAAGTTAGCAAACAGCACTACGTGTGTCTCAAGTAAATAACACTTCCCAAGGGAAAAGTGATGCCCTAGAGACTGTATGAGAAATACTTATAGAGTGTTTGAATATTAATTCCTATGTATACCCAGGAGCTGCTTGGCAGGAAACGCAGTTTCAGACAGGAAAGACCTCCCTTAGCCATACAGCATGCCATACATCACTCATTAAAGTACCTTCTTTTTGCAACTGATGGAGGCTACTGCAGAGTTGCACATCTGGTCAGGCACAGAGAACATAGGTCGGGGAGATGCCCAGTACTAGGTGACATGTCTTCAATTGAATCTCTATGACTAAGTCTCATGGAACATAGAGGAATAAGGGGAAGAGAGAGGGCTAATGCACCCATCAGCTCTCATTAGTGAAGCTCCCTTTCACATCAGAGTGTGATGTACATACAAGACCACAACTGGCCAAATTTTGGAGAATAAAAGACTGTAGAGTATAGGATGGCTCCTATATGGAACCTCTCCCACCCTGCCTCAGAGACCATTGTAGAAGAGGAGGTGGAAAGATTGTTAAGACCCAGGGCTGGTTCATGAACACAGGGAGGTGGGGGCTTCCAGGCCACTGGATGCTTGCTCGTGTCAGCCTGCAGCAGTGGTGGCATCAACCACAGGACCCATGTCAGCTCAATTAAACAACAACCCAAAGGGGAGATGACAAATAGGTGGCAGGCCAGCACTAGATTGAGAACTGTTTGAGACTGATTGCTGCTGGGTAGGGGAGAGTATGTCTTATATATGACCACTGGATGGGTTGACTAGACTCCAGTAGACACATTTACCCTGAAGGACACTTGGGTACAAACACCTGAATGAACAGGACTCAGCATGTATGGTGGAGTGCATAGGGTTCAGGGGGGGTACAGGGGAGGCATGGATGGGGAAGGGGCCCTGGATTTGAGCGGGAAATGTATGAAATTTTAAAAGTCAATAAAACATTTTTTAAGTATTGACTAATCCTCTGTCTTGAGTAGTCTTTTATTACTTAGCAATTCTGTCATTTACTCTGGTTTGTCTTTAAATGATTATGTTGATCTGACACTATACGTATACTGCAAGTTCATTAAAAATAGGTGTTATCTATTTTTCCTTAGCTGAATATACAGTACCTAACAAAGAATAAATAGCATGTAATTTAATATTTAATGCAAATATTATTGTTTGCAGCCAATTACATACTACATAATTATATGAATATGTATTGATGCATATACATTATATATTCACATTTTTATAGCAAGTCCAAGGAACAATTAAGGTCTTTCTTTCAGAGATGAGGAAACAGTAGCAAGTAAAGTTTAGATAATCTTTGCAATAACAGAAAGGCCTTTGTATCATGAGGGTTCTCCCTGACATGCCCAGCCAATTTTTCAGCATATGATTTGCATTATTCATTAAATGGAGCAATGATCTCATCCTTGCACTTTGTGAGCTTCATGATCTAGCTTCTAGACTCCCTTTTAGCAAGTTTTAAGGATGCTCCCTGAGCCAATATTTAAAAAATGAGCAGAAAATGATTACATTGGAAGACTAGAATGTAGTTTCCCTGAAGTTGACAATGCTGGATGTTCATTGAGCCATGCAGAATTTTCAGGTTTTAAGTTTGTATAATCAAAAATAGAAAGTCAAAACATGAAGAAAAGAAGAAGTAAAGAAAGAAGTAAAAGGTGGAGAGAGGAAAGAAGATATGAGAGGACAGGGGAAAACACTGAGCAAGGAGACTATTGAAAGAGTTTTTTGAAATCAGTTGTATCTACACAGATTGTAAAGTTGCTTTTAATTTATCAAGGTGCAGAACTAAGAGCCCAGAAAGATATTTCTCTGGTTAGTGTAGAGTTTTCAGATGGAAGGTTTGGAAATCATAGCACTAGGCAAAACATAAAGTAAATCAAACGTTTTATTTCTGCCAAGTCTTTAGAAAGTTTGAAAGTACATCCCTCCAACTCTAACTACTTGAATAGACAGCCTATTGAAAAATTCTAACTTCTTCTGTGTCTACCTCTCTGAGATTAGAAAAGTACATGTAATATGAACACCAAAGAGAGAAACATTTCTTCAACTGAAGATAAAGCATATGAATTTCCAAATGTATAA